ATATATATGTGTGCAATTGTTGTGTATAGCAACTGAACATACGCTTATGCTACGTTGCAACCCTGCGCAACATACGCGTCACTGCCGCCGACGTTGCGCCGCAGCAAAGCCTATAACAAAATGGCTTTCTGGTTGGCCCTGAGCGACAAAACTTAGGTGCTTTTTATAGGTGCTTGCATCGAATGAAATTGAATGTAGAAGCATGCTTAAAGGGTTTTTATCACTCACCTGGTGAGACCGTCTTCTCCAAGATAACAATTAGTTGGCGTGTTATGTCTGAAGTCATTTTTGCGCTCTTACTTTCGATTTCGTGTAAATGCCGTAGCTGTTAGGGCGCGAATGTGTGGAAATTTTTCGTAATCGCTTAGCTTTCTATGGTGCGTATGTATGTGTAAATATAGACAATACCGAGCAGCTGGCAAATAGGTAAACGAAAATGAAAATATGCTTTGTAAGATTGACGATACGACATACACACTTTGGTTATATTCGTCTCGTCCTATAATTGATTTTTTCGCTTTTATACTTACTCACTATGCGTGTCTGTTTCCCCTTTGTCTGCGCGTTGCTGATGCTGTGTTGCTATTTCGATTTTGGCTATTTCAACTGTCAAAAAAAGCGGGACCAGAGCGACTGTCGCTCAAATTGATTATATATATAACTTAAATTTGCTTAGCTGCAATTAACTTGGAACAAGAATTTTTATGTTCGATAAAACGTGAATTGTTAAAGAAAGAGAAGCAGGCCGGCTCTGAATAATTCTCGACTCCACATGGAAAAATGCTGCGCGTCGATCTTTCTGCAAGGTGGCAACCCGCGGATTGGGCATAGCTGTCAGTTGAGTTTGAAGTTGATGCGCGTCAATAAGAAACACTTAAAGAAGTTTACCCGATTTTAAACAAACTACATTTTTATTGAACGGATACATTTATTCGCACAGATTTTACTTTTAAATAAAAGTTTTATCGAAAAAGAAATTTGACTAAAAAATCAACTCTGTTGCCTGTTGCCCAGGTTGGCAGGCCGACTAGTGGCAACGCCACTTTTGCAAGTGCACAGTGCTGACGTTTGTTAGACAGACAGACATAAGCCGAAAAAAGAAACAACATTTGACAATTAAACTCCAACTGAGACTTTAATAGACATCGTCGAGAATTTGGCGTAGTCGCCCCACGTATTGATATCATTCCGTTAAAGGGTACTACATCAACATTAACTCAAACACTTTCTGGCTCCCCATCCACCTGACTGCAATTGTGGGTCCGTTTTTATTAGTTGTCAATTAACAAAAAATGAAGCCGTCTCGGTGCCGCTGCACCATGGACCCTTCTCTAATAATCCTAGTGGTGTTGCTTGTTAACACGTCAACGATTTCCGAAGGTTTCTATCTGCCTGGCCTGGCACCGGTTAACTACTGCAAGAAATCGGATGTGTCAACTACGTGCAAGGTAAGTGTGTGTTGGTTTTATTCGTCTCTATATGTGTGTATTTCTGGTGTTCGCAACACCAGAAAACGGTTCGTACATTGTTAATGGTCTGCAAGGGAGGTATGCCCCCCTAACGGAAGCAGTGATAAGCGCCCTGAGAGTGATATTGCTTCGTGGTATGTATACTGTGTAGGTGGCGTGCTGACGTAGATCGTAGTGTTTAGCATGTTAGAACTGCTTACATAGTACATACATACATACACACATATACATACATAAGGGAGTATGTTAGCACAGTTGGCTGTAAGACATACGTTTCCGCTGTGCTCTAAATTAGAGCTATGTTTTTGTCATGCGTCTTAAGCAGATCTTATCATTTTTTTTTTCTCAATTAGTGTTTCTCATAAAGCTGTAAATATAAATCTATGTCGATAAGGCTATTAATTCTAGTAGACACTTTTAACGTATCTATTTCTGTTTGGAGTCCCATGCATTTTAATACCCTTTCAAAGGGTATAATTTATCATATATCATTAAATATATATGTATTATAATATATAAACTTGGCAATACCAAGTCTTACTAAGATTCTAGCATATTGGTAAAATCCTATCAATATGGGAATACTGTCTCATATAGCTTTACATAATTAATCAGTGATAAAGTTTTTGATAAAAAATCTTCTGCAAAATAAATTAAACTAGGCGTGTTGAAAAATTTTGGATATAGTTGTGCGGTCTTCAAAACAGCTTTTCGATTAGGCACAAAAATTATATTTTATCCCAATATGTTTTCCAGTCAGATGTCATTTTGTACGTCAATCGCTTAAATACCGAGGAATCTGTCATTCCTTATGAGTACCATCACTTCGATTTCTGTCTTGGAAGAGAGGAGAACTCCCCGGTTGAGAACCTAGGTCAAGTAGTGTTTGGCGAGCGAATTCGTCCTGGTCCCTACCACATACAATTTATGGAGGATGTGGAATGCGCTGTGGTAAGTGCAAAAAAAACCCAACTATGGCTATCGTTAAATTATTTGTAATTTAAGGCTTGCCGCAAGAATTATACTGGCGGCAGTGCGGAAAGCGATCGACGGATGATGGTGCTCAAGAAGGGCATTAGTCTTAATTACCAGCATCATTGGATTGTGGACAATATGCCAGTTACTTGGTGTTATCAGCTTGAGACGGGCAAACAGTACTGCAGCACTGGCTTTCCGATGGGCTGCTTGGTACGCACAGATGGCGATGGTTGTCCCATTAATTCGATATACAATCGGCCATTGCACTATTATCCGTTCAATCATGTGGATCTGGAGATAACTTATCATAGTGGCGCTCGCGAGGATTGGGGCATGGGCTTCGGAGGCAGCAGTGGCCGTATCATATCCGTAAAAGTAACCCCGAAATCATTAAATCACGCCGATCCAAATAAGCCAAACTGTCTGGGCACTGAGCCGCTGGCCATACGCGAGAGTTCTCTTAAGAATAGCGAATTTCTGTCGATCATTTACACGTACAGCGTAAAATTCGTGCAGAACGACGCGGTCAAATGGTCTTCGCGATGGGATTATATTCTGGAATCAATGCCACATACGAATATTCAATGGTTCTCGATTCTGAACTCCCTGGTCATTGTGCTCTTCCTGAGTGGAATGGTCGCGATGATAATGCTGCGCACACTGCACAAGGATATCGCGCGATATAATCAAATGGACAGCGGCGAGGATGCACAAGAGGAATTCGGTTGGAAGCTAGTGCATGGTGATGTTTTCCGGCCGCCACGTAAGGGTATGCTCTTGTCCGTATTTCTTGGCTCCGGAGTGCAGGTATTGGTCATGTCAATGGTTACCTTGGCTTTTGCTTGCCTTGGATTTTTATCGCCTGCAAATCGTGGCGCCTTGATGACCTGCTCCATGGTGTTATTTGTGTCGCTGGGAACCCCCGCCGGGTATGTTTCAGCGAGAATCTATAAGAGTTTTGGCGGTGTCAAATGGAAGAGCAACGTCATCCTCACTTCAATCGTATGCCCCGGGTGAGTTGCAATTAATATGCTGATTACTTCCTTAATAACAAAGGGTTTTTTTTTGCGTAGAGTCGTCTTCTCGCTGTTCTTTGTGATGAATCTAGTGCTTTGGGGAGAGAGCAGCTCTGGCGCTGTGCCTTTTAGCACACTGATTGCCTTGTTGGCTTTGTGGTTTGGAGTCTCAGTACCGTTGACCTTTGTTGGAGCCTATTTTGGTTTTCGCAAGCGAGTAAGTGGCTATATAATACGTATTTTTGTTTTGTGTTTCGTGAATAATGCTCTTAACTTTCCTCTTTATATTGCAGTCATTGGAGCATCCAGTGCGTACCAATCAAATTCCACGTCAAATACCAGATCAGTCAATCTACACGCAACCTATTCCCGGCATTGTTATGGGAGGCGTTCTGCCGTTCGGCTGCATCTTCATACAGCTGTTCTTTATACTAAGTTCGCTGTGGTCAAATCAGATGTACTACATGTTTGGATTTCTCTTTCTCGTATTTCTCATACTTATCATCACTTGCTCGGAGACAACAATCTTGCTCTGCTATTTCCATCTATGCGCGGAAGACTATCATTGGTGGTGGCGATCGTTTTTGACATCGGGCTTCACAGCCGTTTATTTGTTCATATATTGTTGCCATTACTTTGTCACAAAACTCTCGATTAAGGACAGCGCTTCGACGTTCCTCTATTTTGGGTACACGGCTATAATGGTATTCCTGTTCTTTTTGCTTACCGGCACAATTGGCTTCTTTGCTTGCTTCTGGTTTATAAGAAAAATCTATAGTGTTGTCAAGGTCGATTAGGCGCATAAATCAAGTATTTATAAAAATGTGCGAGCCCGTGTGTTTTGCATGTTTAGCCACAATTTACACTTAAGCCTAATGTGTGTGATTTCTGCGCTGTGGGTGAACAGCCGGTTTTCTGTTTATTATAATGAACTTATTAGTATACATATAATACATCGTAATGTATATAAATATATGTGAGTATGTTGTAGTACCGAAGCGCGCAATAATGTTAAGTATAACCAGAAGTACGAGAAAGGGTGAAAATCAATTGTGTAGGTAACATGTTTCAAAAACAGTCTATTAAATTTTTGGCGTGAAGCTTAATCTTTTCAATGTAACGTCCTATTTACGATATAAACATGAATCCGAAAAATTAACAACACAAATATATATACATAACAAATAAATTAATTCGCTCCTGTATCGTTATTATTATTCTAATTTACTGATTTGTAATTGAAAGTACATTTCCTTTTGTTTATTCGTTAAAACAAATCCAATTAATTTTATACTAATGCTTGGATTCTAAGGATAATCATGATTGTAATCATATGTGTAATATTTTAAAAGATGTACTTTAGTTGAAAGTGATTAAAACCCACTTTGGAATTAAAAATTAAATTATAAAAATACAATTTAAATAAGTCGCCCTCTTCCATTCGATTTTAAGCAAGGGTTGCAACCCTCTAAACTGCACCAGAAACGCCAATCGGCACTTTTGAGGCTTCCGCTGAAGTGCAAAATTGTTTTCATTATTATTTCAAGAACCAATATATTTCAAACAAGCGTAGAATCGATTCTAAATTCATGTCCAGCCAAATTGTGGAAAGTGAGGATGAATTTGATGAGTCTTCGGAGTTGCAACAAAAAAACACGCTCGAATCGCAGCCATCGGTGGATGTGAATAGATTCATTGATTCCGAAATATTTATGAATATTAACATTGGACACCATTTCAGGAAGCCTTCGATTTGGACGATCTGTTGCCAGTCATTGGCGAATTTGGCAAATATCAGAAACTTTTGGTCTTTGGCATTTGTCTGCCTGCTTGCATACCATGCGGATTTTGTGCCTTCAACCAGCTCTTCATGGCCGACACCCCAGACGATTATTGGTGTCGGGTTCCCGAGCTATTGCAATTGGATCTCGAGCAGCGCAAATATTTGGCCATACCCAAGGAACTGGTAAGCCACTGTTCAGGGTGCGGCTATTAGAACAATTCTTCAATTCCATTTCTTTTAACATATGTTTAGGAGAACGACGAGATGGTATACAGCAAATGCTATACGTACGGAGTCAACTGGACGCAGATGCTCGACTTGGCTGATGACAATGGAGGGAATTATACGTTTTTGGAGCCCAATAGCAGCTGGCCCCTGGTTAAGTGCAGTCAAGGCTGGGAGTACAACACCAGCATAGTCTGGTCCTCGATTGTGATCGATGTGATTAAAGAAGCCAAGCTACGATCAATCCACATGTAGCCCCACATGTAGAGCAGCTCTTTGCCACTCATTTCCCATTCACGTCATATCCTGCCCAGGCACAAACATAATAATATCTGTTAAATCCGTTAACAGTTCGATTTGGTATGCGATCAAGACATATATCCCACCATTGGTCTGGCGGCCCTCAACAGTGGCGGCCCGGTGGGTGTCTATTTGTTTGGGCTGCTCAACGATCGGGCTGGGCGGAGACTCTCATATTTCACATGTTTGGCCACCCTGCTGGCGGGCAGCTTGATGACATCGCTGAGCAAGGACTTTTGGACATGGGCTGGCAGTCGAGTAATCGTGGGCCTGACTATACCTGCTGTCTACCAGATACCCTTTATCATATGTAAGTCTCTGCCCACATATTAGACACGTCTTTGAACTCCTTCCCGTTTGGCTTTTATTTAGCTCTGGAACTTGTGGGCGAGAAGTATCGCAGCTTTGTGACCGTCATGACCTGCACCTTCTACACGTCGGGCATAATGCTGCTGTCGTTGGTTACCTATCTGGAGCGGGACTGGGTGCGGCTTTCCTACTACACATCTCTTCCGTTTTATTCCTACTTTCTGTACATATTCATAATGCCCGAGTCACCGCGCTGGCTTCTTATGCGCGGCCGCCTGGAGGAGGCGCTTAGAATACTGGAGAGCATGGCTCGCGTTAATGGTCAAAAGTTTCCGGAGGCAGTACACAGCAAACTGGAGGCGCAAATCAGAAGGGATAAGCTGAAAAAGCAGAAGAAGAAGGTCGCCAACGTAGGCCTTGCGGATCTGTGCCGCACGCCCAACATGCGGCTGAAGACCATATTGATAACGCTCAGCTGGTTCGCAAATGAGACTGTGTACTTGGGACTCAGCTATTACGGCCCCTCGCTTGGCACCAATCAGTACGTGAGCTTCTTCTTGTCGGCAGTGGTGGAGCTGCCGAGCTACCTGTGCTGCTGGTACTTTATGGACACTTGGGGTCGACGTTGGCCTCTCAGTCTCTCCATGATATTGGGGTAAGTCCATGACTACTTTATTCACACTTCTATCTTCATTAATCCTCACAGCTACGACTCCTATAAATTTGAGCCGTCATTTGTCCAAAAGTTAGAAAAATGTTCAGTATTTCACCCTTAAGTTTGGGGTATTATTGGAAAATGGTATACTACGGCTTCTATTACCAACCCATTTTTATAGATCTTTATGAAAATTTATGTGAAAAGTGATTCGTGTGAATTGACTTCTTTTCTATACATAAATTTTGAAGAACTTCTGGAATAATTGTATTGAAATTTCTTAAATCTTATTTTATTAATATATTTAGCGGCGTCGCTTGCATTATAACTGTCATGCTGCCCGATGACGCAATAGAGGAGACATTAATCCTATATCTCATATCGAAGGCTCTTCTTTCGGCCTCATTTCTGATCATCTATCCCTTTGCCGGCGAGCTGTATCCGACGCAAGTGCGCGGCATAGGCATTGGTGCCTCAAGCTACATTGGTGGCTTAGGTCTTATTGGGATACCATTTGTCACTTACCTGGGCAAGGAGAACCTGAAGTTGCCGTTGGTAATTATGGGATTCGTATCGATGCTGGGTGGCATGACGGGCCTGCGCTTACCGGAAACCCTGCACCATCGCTTGCCCCAGACCATCGAGGAGGGCGAAGAGTTCGGCAAAAATTGGCAGTTTAAGGATTGCCTGCACTGCAAGCCACAGCCGTAAGTCACATGTCATATGTTCCTGCATAATCTCTTGGATACCTTTGCATCTGTCTCTTGCAGCGATGTCCACTCACCGCCAGCTTCCTATGAAAATCTAGATGTACTAGGCGGCTTCTCCAACAATGCTTCCGAAGTCGAACTGGAGCTTAAGGACAGTCGACGTCAACGTCCGCATCCGCATGTTACGGAACGCACTCCTCTGGAGGACAGTAGCGGGTCCGTTGGCAGCACTGGAAGACAGCATCGGGCTTCCATGAAGCGCCTGGTGCGCCAAATGAGCGTTATGGACACACAACGGACCCACGACGGCACCATGCAGCTGACGCATTGGATCTGAGTGTGGGGAACATGGGAATATATTAAATTATTTATATCGATATATAGAGCTGATTAAGAACATGATTATTCACACAACTTATTATATCGTAATTAAATATACGAAGCAAACAAAAAGATCAAAAGATCAAGATTGTGTAGATCGAGAATAGATCGATGAGTAACAATGTCTCCTCTTCTAAAGAGAAAACGAGAAATCTTTTTAAAGCTTTCAAAATTTCCAAAATATTGTGCTGTATCAAAACAAATTCGTTTGTCTTTTAAGAGAGAGATTCCTATTATTCATAAAGTATTAACTCCAAAAATAATTTGTTTATGGTTAATATTAGCTAAAGGTCCAGAATGTGTTTAACTATATCCGATTAATAATGGAACACTTTTGGCTTTAGGGTTTAAAATTATATAAGAAAAGAGTATGATTTGTTTCAGAAGCTAACTGCTGTTCCATTATGTAATTTATATATCTTATACCATTGTAAAATATATGTTGAATTAAAGATATATTAACAAAACAAATATTTCAAATTCAAATATTTTTTATAATACACATGTACATGTGCATATCCGCACATGCATGTACTTTGGCATATATGCATGCATACATATACATATGTTTGCGTGCATGCTGCATATATATGTATGCATGCTGCATTTATATGTATGCATGTTTGTTTGTGTATATAGAATTGTGAATACAACATACATACACACATACATACATATGTACATACATACATATATACATACATACCTACATACATGCATGCATGCATACATACATACATACATACATACATACATACACAATACACACACACACACATACATACATACGTACATACATACATACATATATACATACATACATATATACATACACACATACATACATACATACATACATACATACATACATATATACATACATACATACATACATACATATATATATAAACATACATCACACAAAAAAAAAAACAAAAAAAAATTACCAAAAAAAAATACAAAAAAAATACCAAAAAAAAACACTTCACTACTAGCTAAGCTAGTGCAAAACTGCAGAGCCTACTTGAATTCTTGAGAATCGAGGAGGAGAGCACTTGGCAGAAATTCGTTTTATTTAAATTTGCAGCACAGCAAAAAATAAGCTTGGGCTGCGTTTTGTATTAGAAAACAACCATGCATGCATACATACATTCATACACGCATACATACATGCATGCATACACGAACACACACACGCCCCCACACACACACACGCCCACACACACACACACGCGCACACACACACGCAAAACTTTATTCTTGGTCAAAATATCCTTTATTTCCCACTGCCATAACTCGGTCAAATCTCGTCTGATTTTCATGAGACTTGGCTCTTTGTTTATGCTTTGGTCTCAAGATCAATTTGGCAACATTATTCTTGGTCAAAATTCATGTGAAAATTGTACCCACAAATATCCTACATAGACATAGGTCAAAATATATATGAGGTTAAAGGTGACAAAGTTTAATTGCACTCTGCAAGGCTATTGTAGGTAAACAAAAACCCATTAAAAAACAATGTTTTATCCGGCAACAAATAGAAATGTGCATATTTATATAGTTAGTAGGATATAACTGTAAGTCTATAGTCGCATTTCTGATTGTTTTCAGCTGGCTTTTATTTATGCATTTATGCAATCAATTATGCAGTTAATTGTTGGCAAACAAAAGCAAAAACAACAACAACATCAACAACAAAAACAAACACAAAAAACTAAATTGTTTATTACCTGATTCTGACGAGGAATGAAAATTGGCTGCAGCTGTCAGCCGCAATTGTCTGATGCTGATGCTGATGCATGGCTGCCATAGGAAGCGTTGAGAATCGAGACGTGTTCGAATGGTTGTTTTTTAAGCTCCCAATATATTTATTTGATTGATTACAATTGTCGAGAGCTGTCAAGAAGGAAGCAATGAAAATTTTATGTGTAAAGGGTTTAGCGAGCCGACGACACTAAAGCATGTCTGGAATCTCTGGTTTGCTGGCGCAGTCCGAAAAGAAGGGCTCGGCCAGCTGCCACATTCTGTGCCTGCATGAGGAAATTATACGCCAGCTGTTTACGTACCTGCCCACGTTGTGTGACAAGGTGCGACTAGCGTGTGTGGCGCCCAAGTTCCGGCACGCCTTCGAGAGCTGGGCGCGGGCGCACAGGTACACACTGAAGGCGGAGGATGTGGAGCAGATGGTGCTGCCCGAAATCATAGACTTCTTCAAGTTGGCCGGCCCCTATATAAAAGTGCTGCTGGTCAACTGTGCGTCCTTTCAGAAGGAGTCGCTGCTGGTCGAGTTCATTGCGGAGTACTGCAAGACTCTGGAAGAGATCTACTACACCAACGTGACGGATGAGTTTCGCTATTGTGCGCTGTTGTCGCGACTGACGGGTCTGCGGCGTGTCAGCATCGATTGCCTGGATTCAGAGGATGTGCTCAGCCTGAATCTGGACGGTAACACGGAACTGGAGTCCTTTGAGCTGATTAATGGGTGCTACACTGGTAAGCCGATAAATTCGAAATGCCAGCTTAAACGGATTGCTTGTACCCGATCGTAGGCAAACACCTGTGCGGCTTCTCCAAGCTCCACAGGCTGGTGCTCCGCGACTGTTTGCTGTGGAATTCGGGCGAGTTTGGCATTCCATTAAAGAAGCTGCGCACCCTCGTCCTGGACGACTGCTGCTTTGAGGTGATGAATCAGTCGCTCTACCAAAAGATAGCCGAATGCTGTCTGGAACTCGAGGAACTGTCCTTCTCTGGTTGTGATGCCAACTTCGAGATCATTGCCCAGCTGCCCAATTTGCAGCGTTGCACACTCAAAACCTGGATGACCTCCAATGAGCTCAACCTAGGCTTCTTCTCCACTCTGGCCGAAAAGAAGGGCAACAAGCTGACATTTTTAAAGCTTTCAGGACAGTTTGACATTAGCAACCAGCATGCCCGCTGCCTGGGCCAGCTCAGCAGCCTGACGGAGCTCCATTGGTGCGACAATGATGTGCTTGAGGACGAACACTTCAAGTTCTTCAATGAGCTCAACGGGCTGAAGCTGTTCGGCTTGTCCTGGTGTGGTCGGGTCACCGACGTCGGCCTCATGCGTTTGGTGCGCAAGTGCCCCCAGCTGGCTTGCATCGATATCAAGAGCTGTGACCAGATCACCGATCAGTTTGTCTTGAATGCCGTCTATTGCTGCGGCAAGACAGCGGACCGAACATTGACGCTGAACGTGGAAGAGACCAAGATCAGCCGCACACTGCTCCAGGTAGGTAGTTCAGAAGGAAATCAAGTTTTGGGTAGTTAACTTCTGCGCCACACAGCATCCCGAGTATTTGCAGCCCCTCAACAGAGTAAAGCTGAACTTTACGCATGGCTCGAGCTGAGCCACAGGGTTTGTCGCCGGAAAATCCATAAGGAAGTACTGGCTTTTGTTGTATTTATGAGCGCAACCTCATCGCATATAAAGCACGCACACAATGCTCAATTACTGAACGCTATCAGATAATTGCGAGCGTGTACTTTTACGGACTGGCCGTTTAATAATCAAGCGAGAATCCATTTGAAACATTTTGAAAAAACTTAATTCGATTCACTTCGTTTCAATTCGACTGACTATCGGCGGTCGCAATAAATTTCGCATTCAATTGTTGCTTGAACTTTGCCGTACGCCAATTGAAATGATGTCTGTGTTAGCAGCAGGAAGCCGGCCAAGTCAGTCCAGTTAGCCGCTTGCCGCTTGGCCGCTTGCTCACCTGTGGCCGGTGGTTAGCCTTAGTCATCGGCCCGTCTCGGTGCGGAGGCTGTTGCGTGCAACGTTCTCGCACTCGCTGCCACAATCACAATGGCTACAAGCTGCAGCTGACCTCGACGGTCTCCTTAAATAGACGCCGATCGCGATCGCTAACGCGCTCTGACTTAGTTGTAGTACACATAACCCATTGACATCGGCTTTGCCTCCGCAAACATATTCAAAGCCTTGACATGTTCAGGTGTCTGCTGCGCTGGTGGCTTTTCGCCTTTCTGCTTTTTTACACTGACTAATTGTGTACTTCTGCTGGGTTAGCGTACTTGACATTTTCCTCGGATGCGCTGATCGATGCAATTCCCGCGCCAGCGAACCAGTTGAGAATTGTAATATGCTTGAGTTTAAGTTATATAATCAGCATACTTAGTTTAATTACAATCTAAGAGCTTGCCTTTGTTCTTGATCAGCAGCACAGAAGAAGGAAAGAGTCTCTTAAGATGGCAGACAATTCTAAGTCAAGGATTAAATATACCCAATTTGCCACGATATTTCAAATTTTCTTCTCAGCCTCTAGACCTATAGATACATCTAGAATATTTCCCCATTCCTTCAAAATAAAAGAAACTCTTTCGAACGGCCTTGGGCTCTAATATTTAGCTACATTTGGACATTATACTTATGCTTCGAAAATTTCATAAAGATCGGACAATAAACTCCGAAGATACCCAAGCATGCTTTCGACTAGTTTAGGCAGAGGAACGCCGAAAGCCACCCACTGAAAACAGTTCGAATTTTAGAATTCGGAAAATCCATGCCCTGAAAAGTACTAATGGATAGGCATCAAGTTTTACTCGGATTTCGGATTGCGGAAGTTCCTGTTCCTGGGCACAGGGTAACACCTAGTCGCGCACGCCCTAAATGGAGCATTCTGAATTGTTTAATTACAAGTAAATTTATTGAAAAGGTCTGCTTATCTCACCAGCATAGATACACCTCTGTGAGACTCTTCTCACATAGGAAACTTCAACTCCAGTCACAGCTTCAGCGCCACCTCCAGCAGCAGAAGAAGAAGCAGCAGAAGAAGCGGCGGCACCAGCTCTGGCACTATTAGCGTCATCATCTTTGGTGCCAATTGCCATTTGAAGATGTTTGCAGGCTTGTCAAGGTGCCATGCCGCGTCTAATCGAATCGAAGCCGTGTTTCTGTCGGCAGTTTGACAAACCCGTTGACTTAACACAATCGCATGTTGTGGCTTTGTGGCTGGCTGGCTGCCTTCAATTGTTGACCGCGGTGCATGCGGCTTAGCTGGAATTTAACACGCGGCTATCAGACGATACACATCTATACGGTTCAGAGTATAAAGATGTAATCGTGCCCAGCCACGGAGACTACCGTCGCTTGTTCGCTGCCCAGTTCTGCGTCTGCATAGATATTGCTTAGTTTTTAGTTCTAAGTGTTTCTCGTTCAATGCACATAAATAATACGCCGAGCATTGGTTATTCGAACGTTGTATTGCCCAGAGCATGAGAAGACGGGACAGGTCGAGGTCAACTCTCGTTAGCCAGCCGCCGTCCGAGCACCATGGGTGCGAAAAGCGCCATAAACAGAGGCTTCACATGAACGAACGTCTCGGATGCGGCTTGGCATCTGCTTGCGGCAACGTTTTTGTGTGCATTTCATTTCAGACTTCAACT